AAAAAAAAAAAGAAAATGAGCTTATTTATACCCAAAAATGGGTTTATAGTAATTATGATAGATTATGTTAATCTTAACAAAATAACGCGTCAAAAAAGCAATTTGTCATTACTGAGAATGCAGTAAAAAATATATGCTCTAAAATATCTTTTTTACTCGTCAAGAATTATACTCTGACATATCGACGAGTATATCTATAAAGATAAATTTTCTCCTGTTATTATACGCCTCAATACATTTTTGACACAACATATCTAATATCATGGCTAAGCCTCGATAATTGAATTGAAAAATATTTACATCACATGTATTACAAATATATCGCAGTGTTGCGTGTTTTGTATAAATTATACACTCTTTACACATTATTTGTGATGATTCTAAATGAAATAAAAATCTTGTATTGATATACCATTAATAAATTATTTGTAATAAGAGAAATTATTTTTTCCCTGAATATTTATTTCTAATTCTTTCAAAGAAGAAAAACTGATAAACACAATTGTAATTAATGATTTGGTATATTTATTTACATAAATTATTTAACGCACACACTCGCACGCACATACATAAAATTAATGCAGTTTATTCATCTATCAAATAGCACTGCCTGTGTGAAATATTTAGTATTTTAAATATCAAATAAAAGTAAAGAAATAACATAGCTACATTTTATAATTGATTCTAGCGAAATATATATTTGCTTAAAATTGTTATAATACTTAATTAAAAACAGAAACAACGAAAATAATCTAATTGTAATTTATAAGAAATTTCTACATACACATATTAATTGCACTGGGTATCTTCCTAACATTAAAGGATGTAATTTTTAAAACAAAATTTTAAATGAGCTTATAACCGATTTACATATTATTCGTATATTTTTATATAAGTTATAAATAATTTTTGAGAAATATTTTACTACAGATATAATAAAACATATTGAATTATATTCAACAAATCTAAATATATTCTTGTGATACAGAAAAAGAAATATATGATACATATAAAACATTTTATAGAAAAAATTGAAGAAAATTGAAGAAAATTATTAAAAAAACAATTATTTTTAAATTACTCTATACTCATATATTATACTTTTTTCACAAATTCATATGCACATTTTTCATATGCTAAGGATAATACACGAAAAATATTTTCTGATACAGCAATGCAGTAATTAGACCTGTATAAATTTTTTTTATAACTTATATTTATAGTTTATGTATAAAAATTATTTATGTATATTTTTCCTATTGCATTATTTGAGTTAAATTACATGATACTTAGATTTGTTTTGCTTAAATGATATTAGTATGAAAATTAGGACGTATTAACATGGACTATATTTGAAGTCATTTGAAAATTTTATATGGAAAAAAATGATTTTTGCAAATTAAAACTAATAATTATTTTGAAAGTGTATACTCTGAAATATACAAAATTACTGCATACATCAAAAAACAAAATTATGGAATTTGTAAGACTATTATAATAGTAATGTTTGTAGTATTTATAGTAAAAGTACATGTGATAATTGTATTAAAATGTATTCAATGTATTCATTATGCATGATCATATACATGTTCGTACAATCTAATCATGAATTTATAAATACAACACACATTTTTATTCATTATGTAATGCAATGATATTATGAATATATGTTAACAATTTATAATCTGTTAACGCGAACAGAATATAATTTGTTATCAAATATACATGTATTCACTGAGATATACTAATAATTCAATTGTTTATTGTTTATATGTCAATGATTTCTTGATCCATTAAAGTGTTTTATTCTAAGTATTGAAAATGCACTTGCATTTTTTTATTATATCAACAGATTTCATACATAAAACAAATTGGTGAACTTGATCATTTAAGTACACCAAAATTTAAAAATATTATTTATCTCAAGAATAGACATAAATCTATTTAATTAAATATAAAATTATTTTGGACAATTAATATTATTACAATTCATTCATTGAAGATATATTTGCTGAGTCATAAAAAAAGAACTTAATAAAGAAACTCGCAGATTGTGATATATAATGTTTTCTTATTGCAAATGTGCACAGCTGATTTCTTTTGATCTCAATATTATAAAATTATAATATATCATAATTAATTTCAATGAATTTATAATTTCATCTATTTGTACTTATTTTTGTATATATTAAATATTATTACAATTAATAAATTTAACATTACATATGTACAATGATATTAACGAAAAAAATTGTTAAAAAAAATAATTAATTTAAATTATGATAAACTGAATATATTTTTTAAATTTTCGATTTAACAAAACATTAACAATTGCTATGCACATTTATAAAATATTGTTTTATAATTCATGCATTGACTAAAATTATATATGTTTGACATTCTATATGATATATAGAAATACATTATAAAGATTTTAATAGATATTGTTTTCTTAAAATAAATTTTTTATAACAAATATTCATTGTGTATTGTTCTCTTAAGGCCAGTATTAAAATTTCAACTTGATAGATTGCATCTAAGAAACTTAATGTTCATTGCAGTGTCATTCGTTGATTAATTTTTAAAATTTTTATTTCTATTGTACAGATGTAGAAATGTACAACAAGAATTACAAACACTACATTGTATGCAGATAACATAAAAATTTAAATCAGTAATAACTTGTAATAATGTGCTTTTTTTTAAAATGCATTGATTTTATATAAGAGATCTTTATTCAATAATTTGTTAGATTTCAAATATAATAAATAATATTAGAGCAAAATTTTATATTAAAAGAAATAGCTTAATAACTTTACAATAAGCTGATAATAAAGTCATAACATAAATCATGTCAATCATAAAATTATCATTCACCACATATTAATTTTAAATATACAATAATGTATTAATACGTCAAATTTGGTTCTTTTCACATTGCATACAAACATGTTGATATAATTGATTAGTAATATGAAATTGTTCAATGAAAATCACTTTCAGAGTCAATATACAATTGAAATGATAAAAAATTGGATATATTTATTTGTATCACTTATTTTATCAGGCAGTTGAGATATATACACCTCTAACTATAAAATCTTTTCATTCGTTCTTCTTCATTTATCCATAAAGTATAAAAATCTTTGAAAAGTGTATATTATTATCTTAAAATTTTAAAGCCTAAATAAAATTGCTTACATCTCACTTTCATATAATAAAATCGAAAGAAAATGAAATTATACAAACATGAATATACAAGATGACAATGACCAGAAAACGTTTCTTAAGTCTATGGTGTATATACCTCTTGAGATAAAATTTTAATAATATTTAGTTAAATGTACAATTTATAGTTACTTACGTAAAAATCGATGCGAACCTTTTATTGATTAAAATTAACTTTATTGCCATAATCCTGCATAATTACCATAAAGATTTACGGGAAGAGGTCCACCAGCGGTGAATAATCGAGTTCCTGATCCATCGTAACAATGAGTATATATAGCAGGTGTATATTTTACATTTTGAAATCCGTCTATGTACTCTTCATCAGGAAACTGACATTATTATAAAAAAAATATTATTAATATATTATGTAATATATATTAATATATATATTATTATTAATAATAAATATTAATTCAATCATATATATATATATATATAAAGAACAAAAAATTCTTAAATATTTTAAATATTTTTGGATAGTTTATAATTAAAAAAGAAGAAATTTTAAAACATACCACATATCCTTTTGATGCTTTTAATACAACAATTCTGTTAGAATTAATTGATGATTCAAGATACTTTTGAGCTCTAACATCATAAAAGAACATCATTCCTAAGCCTGTTCCAATAGTTAAAACAGAACCTTGAAAACTAACAGATCGGATTCCACAACCACTATATCTATAAAAAAAATATTATAACTGAATAAAAAAAAATCATAAGTTATAATAAATTTAAAAAATTAAAATAATGTTATATACCGTGAAGGTATTCTTTTTATTGGTTGCACAGTTCTTGCATCTAAGAGTAAAGTATATGAACGGCATCCTACAGCATAAACACCATCATCTTGTACAGCAAGACAAACATTTTCTTGACAAACTGGTAATTTTCTAGATATCTTTTGTCTAAAAGTCTCAGCAGACCAAATGTGAATGAAATTATTCAGAGTAATAGCAGCAATTTCCTTATATGTTCTATTGAAAACAAGAGCTCGTACTTTTTGTGCAGATCTACATTCCTTAACACATACAGGTTGAATCAACCTAATATAAAAAAAAATAATATACTTACAAAATATATTTGTTATTTATATTTTATATAATATATAATATATAATATAAATATAATTTTTATTTTATATACCTATGTGTTGGCACATCTGCTTTATCAGGAGCTTCAGCAAGATCATTATCTATACGCCATAAAGCCATTTTGGTGTCTCTAGAACCAGAAACTAAAAATTCATCATCTAACCAACACATATCAAAAATCCAATCTCTATGACCACCTTCTCCTACACAAACTGGATCTAAAGTTGGTAGCCTATATATTGCTATTTCATTACTATTTCTTGCTCCAGTTGATAGGAGAGTTCTGTAAAATTATAAATTTTAATAATGCAGTAATGAATTTTAAATTTAAATAAGAATTAATTTTTTATTTAAATACCTAGAAGGATTAATTTGAACAGAATGTATACCACATTGCTGCTCAGGAACAGCACCACCTCCTGAATTAATTTGTCTTCCATGTAGAGATGGTATTTGATCTAATTTTTGTGTTGCTACATCATAAACCATCAATTTGTTGCATTTTGTACCAAATACTACTTGCCTATCACTTAACCATTGAGAACAAAAGACTTTATTCATATTGTTTAAGCTAACTGAATATTCTTTAAATAAATCATGAGTTAATATGTGTCGAAATCCATATTCTTGATTAATTTTCCTCACTTCTCTTGTATTTGTTTCTCTTGCACGTACATAATCCACAAAATTAAATGAAGTTCTTAAAAATTGCTTTCCTTCACTTACAGTTTCTGCTTCATCATCACTTGATTCATAACATATAAAATCATCTGGTTTGTCCGATTTTCTATTTCTTTCCAATCTCAAAGCTAATCTAGAATCAAAAAAACTACTTCCTTATAATGGAAATTGTTTAAAATAATACTTTATAAGAAAAGTAATAAAAATTATAAATAGTCTTTAATTTAACATTTTTTATATGGTTTACCTTCTAGCACGACGTTCCTCTAAACGAGTTCCACTAGCACAGGGAGGATGTCTACCATAAACAGTCATTCGCTGTGTTTCAGCCATTATGTTCAAATTTTATTATTTATTAATTAATATATATTAGAATACTTAAATGTTGTTGCATATAAAATTTATTTGATAATTTGTTGTAATTATCCTTACTTATATAATATGAGACTATTTTTAACAATATAGTCTTAAAAATATTATTTTAAATGTCTTTGATTATAATATCCCAATTAAATTGTTCTACCTAAATGGAACATAAATACATGTTCCTATCATTATAAGCAAAGCCAAACTTTTTTTTGTTTGACCTCCAAAAAAAGGAACTATTAATTTAAAAAACTTGCTTATATTCATGCATTAATACGATCATTGTAATGATCTCTCAAACACTGTAGAAAAATCAAAGTATCCAAAATAAATATTCAACACTAATAAAGGAAATTTCAATCTCCTCTGGTGTAATATATTTATAAACGTGGTATGCAATGAAATAACAAGAAACTATCTTGGCAGCAATTCTCCTTTGACTGAAACAAAATCAAGCTTCAAATTCTTTTCTGGCTTTTTAAAATAATCAAAGCTTTTCGATCTCAAAGATTATCGAATACTTTTATAAACATTCAAGTTTTTTTAATTATTTATAAAATGCAACAAACCTTAGTAAAACGGCAATTGCCGAATCTATCGTGGTATCTAACCGAAATTTTTCAGATGAAATCCTTTCTTTTATCAGATGTACATCATCATAATTATATAACTTGCATAGACTTATAAATGATAATATGAACATCAAGGTTTCGTATTTAAATTATGCAAAGAAATAGAAAGAAAATCCACAAAATTCATGATAAGCAAAGAGACCTTTGAAGCACTAAGCAACTAACCATCGCCATATTGAAACGAACAGCAAAACCATAGAAAATTTAACAAAGCACACTGAAATCTTCTTAACATATCGTTCAAAATTCTTCCAAAATAGTTTTCAGGAGTTTTTGTATTTAATAATTACAATTGGTAAACAAATTTTTGGACAATTACAAAAATCGAAGGGAGCAACTTCCATCAATTGTCAACAGGAGAAGTTCATCCCCTCTACTGAATTTTATTACAGAATTACAGCTGACATTTTGAAAGAAATGGCGTCCTTCAAGAAAATAAATACTAAAGTATTTGCAAGATCAGGTTCTGAATTAACTCCAGATATTATATACTGGAAAAAGTATAGCGTAAGTATGTTAAAATAATAAAAACAATTTAATTTTGTTGCTATAGTAATTGTATCATTTAATTTATAATACACACGTGTATAGAACTTAACCTAAATAAACAATATTTAAGATTGTTATTAAATTATAAAAATATTATAAAAATGTTTTTATATAATTTATTTAACAGGCTCCTGTTTTAGTTAAAGAATTTGGACCAATTGATTATATTGATTTTTCACCAGTAGAACCTCATTATTTTGCAGTCACTTGTTCAGTAAGAGTACAAGTGTATAATCCAATTACAAAATTAGTAACAAAAAATCTTAGTAGATTTAAAGAAGCTGCTTATGGTGGATCTTTTCGTAGTGATGGTAAACTACTTTGTGCTGGTGGTGAAGAAGCTGTAATTAGACTCTTTGATGTCAATGCAAAAAGTCTTCTTAGACTTTTTTCTGGACACAAAGCTGCTGTACATAGAACTTTCTTCACTGCGGATAATGTTCACATTGCTTCATTTTCTGATGACAAAACTGTTATTATTTGGGATATACCTAGTGAAACACAAATAATATCTTTCAATGAACATTCAGATTATATCAGAGCTGGAGCAGTTAGTCCTATTTCTAGTGACATATTATTATCTGGTGGTTATGATAAACATATATATATGTATGATACAAGAACAAGCAAAAAAATTTTTAGTGTAAGCCATGAAGCTCCTGTTGAAAGTTTATTATTTTTACCTTCTGGTGGAATATTTTTATCTGCTGGTATGAATGATAATGATATACAATATCATAAATATATGGCATATTTTAAATAATATTTTTTTTACATATTTTATTATATTTTACATTTTTTATTATATTTTACATATAATTATAAAAAACAATATTTTACATATTTTATTATATTTTTTATAATTATAAATAGGAGGAACAGAAATTAGAGTATGGGATGCACTTGCTGGTGGCAGATTACTTGCAAAAATTACCCAACATCATAAAACAGTAACATGCTTGAAAATAGCTTCAAATGGACATAGAATTTTATCTGGTTCTCTAGATAGACATGTAAAAATTTATGATTCTGGAACATATAAGACTGTTCATTCTTTGGATTATCCAAATTCTGTTCTTAGTATAGGAATTAGTGTAAGAAAACATTTTTAATTATATATTAGAAATTAAAATATTACTAAACATTAAATTATACTACAAGAAACTATTATTAAATATAACTTTTTGCAGTCAAATGATGAAACCATAGTAGCTGGTATGGTTGATGGTTTAATTTCTGTGAGAAGAAGAGAAGAAGATGTAAAAACGGAAAAACCACAACGTAAAAAGGTATCATATAGATATTCTGGAAAAAATTTACATATACATCAAGTAGATGTTATTGTACATGAAGAACTTAAAGAAATTATGTCCAAACATGATACTTATTTAAGAAGATTTGAATATTCAAAAGCTTTAGATTCTGTAATGGCGAGTTATGTAGTAAATAAAACACCGCATGTTACGGTTGCGCTCATGCAAGAGCTTATCAGAAGACAGGGTTTAAAACAAGCTCTTAGTGGTAGAGATGGCAAGTCACTTGTAAATATTCTTAAATTTTTAAACAAATATATAGGAAATGTTCGATTTGGAAGGATACTATTACATGTAGCTAATATACTAATGGGTATGCTATAATTTTTTATCTTTTTTATATCTAATTTTATTTTTATACTTTTATTATATCTAATTTTTTTTCAAAGAATTTATTTTTATATATAATTTAGATAAATATTTCGATTTCTTAATATAGATGTCTATGAAGATCATTTAGATGAACTTGCAGCAGAACCACGAAATATGTTCAGTATTTTAGCAGCAAAATTAGAAGAAGAAGAAAATTTAATATTAGCATTATCAGAATTACAAGGAAAATTGCATATGATATTATCTGCCGCGGAAATTATATCTCCTACACCAGTAAAAGATATTCAAACTTTAGAACCTTCAAGTGCGGCACAAAAAAATTTAATTTTAAGTATAGCATGAATATAATTTAATATAAATTTACTTATGTATCATAAAAAATCTGTACATACTTTTCATAAATATTTTTATAAAATTGAATTATGTTACATATTTTTAATTCTAAAAATGTTTATTATGGATATAAATATTTAAAATACAATAGACCAGAGAATTTCATTCTTCTTAATTTACATCACTTAAATGCATATAATGTATATTCATGTAGCATAAATTATTAAAACATGTATATCAAAGTTTATCTATTTTTACACTAGAATCTACAGATGTACATAATTACTTTATTTCACGTAATTTTTTTTGAGACATTTTTGCCAGGCAGCTGAGGATGGTTTATCAGGCATTATCCATCCAATTGGTATTGCAAATGCATCATTATCTGAACTTATATATTTATCCCAAGCAGTTCTAGAAATAAAATAATTATTTATAAATTTGTATAATGTTATAATAATATTGTAACTACTTACCTTATGGAACAAAATTACTTAAATCAGAATTATATTGATCAAATGTTATATTTTTTCCAAACAATACTTTTTCCCATTCATCAAAAAGATTTTTCTTTTGTTTTTCAATTCTCTTTTCATTATCATTCTTTAACATTAATTTTAAACCTTGTTCTTCTGTAGAATATTCACGATCAAGCATTGACCATTGTTCTGTTAATTTTGCTGAAGATAAAAATATAATTATTAAATATAATTATTAAAATATTTATTACAAACTAATACTGAAAAATAATAATACCAATAATATTATTAAATGCTTCATCAGCTGCTGAAGATAAATGTTCCCCTCTTGCTCTGGCAATATTAGCCTTAACATTACGTAAATTTCGTAATTCTTGTAACAATCCAAGATATTTCCTAGCATCAATTTTTTTCCCTCTAACATCAAATAAAATCATATCAGCATCTTTACGTAAATTTTCTTCTTGCTTTTCTTTATCTATTACAGCTTGTTCTTTCCTAATCCACAAATCAATTTGTGCATGCATTCTTGCCCTTCTTTCCATTTTCATTATTTTTTCATTTTTCCATTTTTCTTTTTTAATTTTTTCTCTTAATCTTTTTTTTTTCGTTTCTCTAAATCCTTTTTTAATTGATTTAAAAAATTTTGATCTCTAATAGGTTCTAATAATTGAACAATTTCTTCTTTTGCTGTATTACAAATATTTATTTTTTGTTGCCATTCATCTTCCATTAAATGTTGGGTATTTTTAAATTCTGCACAAATTATCTTTAATTTCTCATTTAATTTATATGCAGATGTTATAGCATTTTTAATTATTGCAATTTTAGATTTTTTACATATATTTCTCTGGTCATTTATATTACTGGATTGATCAATTTCTAAGAGAAAATTTTCAATATTTTTTTCATCTGCTTGTCGAATTCCTACATTAATTACTGATGTAGCATTTTCATTTTCAAATGTACCAACTGGATAAATATAACTTTGATATATATTCATATTATAATTTGTATTATAAATATATTGATTCATTAAATGAGACATATTATAATTTGGATCCATATAATTTTGTGTAGGATCCTTTAAATTTTGATTATTAAACATAATTGTTAAAGACTACTTAATTTGAAAAAATATAAAATATCTTAATACTATCACTTTCTTTATGCATTAAATGATTACTTTAACTTGTTTACAAATCTTATGCTATTTTAGATGAAAATATAGTTTTCTCAACTTTCCATAATATTTTAATAAAATTAGTAGGCTTTGCTTTTTTAACACATTTCCATAATTTCTCCTTCTTTAGGAAGTTGAGCTTGTGCTTCTTGTAATATTTTTTCTGCTTCAATATAATCTTCAATCTCTTTCAAATCTTGCTCTGTATCCAAAATTTTTTTAAGTTCTTCAAAAGCCTTTGCAAGACGTCGTTGACAATCTGGTACCATCATAAGAGATTCTTGAAGTACTTCTTCTTGTTTTTTTATATCATAACCATCTTTATCTGTAATTAAAACGATATAAAAATTATTATATTTGAAAGAAATTAAAATAGAAATTAAAATAAGTAATTAATGTAAATATTTAATTGTGATATTTTATGTAATAAATAAATGTACAAGCATTATAATATAGTATATCAAATAAAAATTTTGAAATATTAAAAAATGAAAAATATACGAAAATATTTGTCTAAATAACACAGCTATTGAAAGGATAAAAATAACTAGCTTTTGATGGCATTTTTCAAAATATTTTTCTCACCCTGTTCCTTTAATTTTTGTATCCTTTCACGTTGCTGTGCTGCTTCTTTTTCATACGTGATTTTTTCTTTCGCGAGACGTTTCACTACTCCAGTCTTAATTTTTAAAATTCTTATACGAGGATCAGACATTGTTTTAATTGAAATATTTTACTTCAGATGCAGAAAATGAAGCGTTTACTGATTAAACAAGGTTTTCCTTATAAGGTAAGATGAATAGCTATAAATGAAATTAAGAAAAATTCTATAACATAAAGGTTATACCGATTGATAATCGTAAACTCATATTCTATTAACTTATATTTTTATAACATGAACTTATTAAGAATGACGATCATTTTAATCGATTATTTAATTTAATATTTTAATATTTTATGAATTTTAACTAAAATAATTTCTACATTGAAATTAATATAAAATTTGATTCAAATAAAATGTGTCTGTTTTTCATTTTTTTAAACAAATATTTTTATATGTATTAATATATTTACTTACTTATTCTTTTATACAGAAAAATTATTTGAATTAGGTTAGGTTAAAATCGTAACAGTTATTGTTATATGGCACCACTAATAGAATTCTATGACATAAAGGTTATACTGATTGATAAGACTCATTCCGTTAACTTATATTCTTATAACATGAACTTGTCGAGAATGTCGATCATTTTAATCGATTATTTAATTTATATTTAATATTTTATAATGTTTTAAATAAAATAATTTTTATACTGAAATTAATATAAAATTTGATTTAAACAAAATATATTTGCAATTTTCATTTTTTTAAGTAAATATTTTTACATATATTGACTTATTTATTTTTATACTTTTATATAAAAAAAATTATTTGAGTTAAGTTAGGTTAAAATATTAATGGTATCACATTTTATCTTTAATTTTATTTATATCATTTAAATAATAACATATCATTATAATATATCATTATGATATATATATATATATATATATATAATTAATTATATTAATAAAAATAAAAATCAAGTATATTTATTTCTATAAATAAATATAAATAATATAGATTTTATTTCTATATTTATTTCTCTATTTTTTATATGTTAATATATGTTTTATATATATGTATATTAATGTATATATAAATATATAAATATTTTACATACATTCATACATATATACATGCAAACATATATACAACATACATACATATATTAACATATACATATATGTATACATATAATAGAATATTAATAAATATGATTTCATAAAAAATGTTAAATATAAAATCTACATTGTTTATATTTATTTAAAATAATATATATATTGAAATAAAATAAAAGAAATAAATATATTTGATTTTTATTTTTTATGAATGTAATTCAATTAATAATTTCGCGCCATTTGATTTCGAACGTTCGAGACTTGCAGAAAACTTCAAAGAGTATCGCAGTATATCCCCCCACACTTCCGCAGAAAAACGCTACATCGTGCCTGCATTGAAAGGTGCAGTGAGAGAAACAGAAGGGTTAATTGTGTATCAGTTTATCCTTGATTTCCTAAGACATGTAACAAATAAAAGTGACAAGATTAAAATGCAAGACGATATTTTTCCGGCTGCAGAGAAAATCCTTTCCGACATCGAAAATGTGGTGAAGAAGAATCCGTCACTGTGAGTGTTTTCTTAGATACATTACGAGGGCGGAGTCTTTAAAAATATCTGTGAAATATACTCTAAATTGTTAGATTTGACACGTTAGCATATTTATTATATAGACAATGTCATGTTTCATATAATGTGTTTTAATTATAATAGAATTAAATCATAACATTATCGTCGTACGTTTTAATCAAACATGAGCACATACGACGCTTCATAAAAAGTTTGCATAGTAAATATAATATCAACAATGATAGTATCTAGTATTTACAATAGAAAATTGGCGCTTTTGTGATTATTAAATACTTAATACTTATTATTGAACACATTTTTCTTAAGTTCTCTTTCTTTCTTTCTTATATACATATGTACATACAATATATATGTAATATATATATATACGCAAATAATATTATAATTGCATGCATCATTGATATCAATAATCGATGATAATATATATCAAACTAAATCCAAATATATTAAAAATATAATATAATCTATAATATAATATAATCTTATATTAAATATATACTAATATATATGTCTAAAAGTTAATATTATTTTTATAGCATTTTATAAACATTTTTTATTTTTTATGTTATTAATTTATAATATTTTATGACATGATTTAAATATTTTTCAAATATTTTACATTTAAAATTTATTATGTATTACTAATTTACATCTAATATTTAAACAAATATATATTTTATTAAATTATGTAAATTAAATTAGGAATGTTTATATTAAAAAGATCCTATTTATTACGCGTTGATTCATTTTTAATTTCAGGAAAAGTTTTGAAATAATTCCTGCTGAAGACAATGAGAACAAATCACCCGTATTTCATCAGGAAGATTGTCTCGGATTGGCATCGTGGTGCGTGCAACCACTTTACTGTTATGCTTATCGTCGACTCTTTGAACTTCGACAAAATAAACACAGACGTGAGGAACCTAGTACAATAGCAAGATGGTTGTTGGGCGCATTATTATTAAATCCAGATGTTACGACATTCTGGAACATGCGACGGGAATTAGTAAGAAACCATAAGTTAGAAGCATCCGAAGAATTCTCTTTTTCACGATTGGTGCTTTATCATAAGCCAAAATGTTTCGAGGCCTTCGCCTATCGACGATGGTTATTATCATACATATTGAACAGTAAAGACGGACATTATGATCCAGAATCGATGGAATCGCCGCTTTGTAGAGAATTGGACATAGCAACTACGTGCGCGGAAAGATACGCGAGTAACTATCATGCCTGGAGTCATAGACGTCATGTATTGACCCTTCGTGAATCACGTGGATTTACATATCCGACTCTGGAAACAGAATGGAAGAATTCGCTCGCTTGGTGTCAACGACATGTGTCGGATTATAGCGGACTTTCCTATCGACAGTTCCTACTGAAAAAATTCATGTTTGAATTCAAGGAACTACCGAAGGAACCGTCTATAAAATACTCGGATGTTAGGGAGCAATGGAAAGAGGAACTATTCGTTTATATTAAGTCAAACATCAGTGAAAAAGGGAACACGCATCAATTGCAGAGGTTATTTAATGCTACAAACGCGGAATCTGAAGCAACTACTTCATCGAAAATGAAACAATATGCATATTTCCATACTTTGTCATATTGGCTGGAAGAATGCCATGCGAATGATAGTGCTATTTTCATGTACAATGATCACGAGGCTCTTTGGTGCCATCGTAGATTCCTCGCGTATCTTCTTGTGCGTTTTATGGCATTGAAGCATTCTTATCACGAAGACGAGTATGATGTTGATAGCCGTTCTGTTGATAAATCGATTGAAAGGAAAAATGTTCAAAAAACATTAGCTACGTTAACGAACGATGACGTGATTTTGTGCCACGATTTTCTCATGCAAGCATTCCATGCGTGCACCAACAAAATTGCTGATCTCGCTACCAAACGAGATCAACACGAAAAGATGCTAGTTGAGAGATTTTTTAAATTTCTCCAGAGCATCGGATTTGAAATTAGATCGTGATCTCGTTGCGTCCAGGTTTTACATTGAAACGAAGGATAAAATATACGCAATAAGACAATTTTAATTGGGCATGAATCGATATGCCATTAAAAATCATGCAATAACTCTCTTATGTTCTGTATTTCATACAGATGTTATTCCTAGGCGTATATTCTATGTATGAATTGTATTTCAATAGTGCTCTCTCGTCTGATCTGTTGCGCGGTGAACTCTGTGCACATAAATCAGTGCTGTCCACGAGAGGGGTCTCTTATATGACTTTGTTCTCTTTTACATGTCATAAGAGTAAAAAGAACTCAGAAACAGATCTAATATTCTAGATTTTCTTCTCTTTCTATCTTGTTCTTAAAACGAATGAACGTGAAAAAAATGAGAATATAAAAGATATTCTGAAACTGAAACTGGACAGCACTGTCATAAATGATGTAGCATCGTTTATGATAACGCAAGATCTAATGTACAATGTAAATGAAAATGGAATGAGTATCGATACTTATTTTTGAGACATTTACCGTGTATTGTTTAAGAAAATTTTCAATAATTGAAGACGATATATATTGTATCGTAATTAACAGAAAAAAGGAGAAAGCGGAAGTTGGATAACGTTTGATTTTTTAAACGTTATCCGATATACGAAAAAAATAAGTATACTATGATTGCGTGGTAAAGAAGAAAAAAAGTGTCTTTTGAGGCTATAGGGAAGTATTATTATGGGGTAAATGTGTATAGTGGAACGTTGATAAAGTATAAAAAGAAAAAAATGTTAGTTTTGTAATCATGTGTTTTTAGTCACCTTATTAGAATAGCAAAGGTCCGCGAATGCCGGCCATTTACATCGTCAGGCCAAATGTTTTGACGCCACTAGTATATATGCGATATTGGCCATGTTGTCCTCCTTTGGCACGACAATCTGACCAAAAATAAATCTCTAGACTTTTGTCTGAATTTCTCGTCAGTCTACCGGGAACGGTCGTTAAATGCGTGCGATTGTCAGATTTCTCGTCATCAGGTCCTATAACTTCCGTTTCATTGTTACATGTTAATAAAGTTCAGTGAACCTTGTCGACAACAAATTTTTGTTTTTTTTTCTTGTATTTTTTTACTGTTGAAAATCTACCCTTGATGTATGCGTACGCGTTTCCTCATAAAAAAAATTTGATCCTAATGCGACTTTTCAATTGTCTTAACCTTAATCTTCCAATATCCTTCAATTAAAAATAAATATATATATATATAAATAAATATAAAATAAATCTAAAAATTAATATAGAAAAAAGAGCACAAAATCGCGGGAAATGAAATTTTTTCAATATTATAATTGCAAATTTTGATACTTAAAATCATTATAAAAAAAAATATCTTATTTTATTTTGATAATGTTATTGATTCATAAAAAAATATTACTAAACAAAAATTTTTAATCAATTAAAAATATCTTTATTAAATACTCTAAGATGTTTAAAATTTTAAAAAAAGATAACAAAAAGATAGTATCCTATGCACATTATAGCTATTCATAATATTAATCGATATATGACGATTTTAGTTGATCAATATAAGATAATATTATTCATCGATCAAGAAATCAATCGATAGTTCTCATTACTAATAGTTCATCTAGAATGTGCATCTGTTTTAAATGTATCATTATCAATAGATTACCTTTAATATATTATCGAAACTTGCACGTGACATTTGTCTATTACGTTCATTGGTCGATCAGTTCGATTGTGCCACAAGGTACGAGAAGTCGGACGATAGGCACCCTCAGAAATTCTAATAGTGCGATTATTTCGAGGAAGCAACGTGATGAGGTGTACAGTGGCGGGTCGGACGAGTCATTTTCTCTCATTTCGTTTATTTGAAATCGAATACATCAAAAGTTAAATTGATGGCATCTGAAACCAGATCTATGATTCAAAATAACCTCGATAATTTTTCGAAGCAAGACCGGATGCGAACTGTTCAAAACAAAGGTAAGACGTATATTTTTTTGTGTTTATCATATTATTTATAATAACTAATTATTTTTTTATTGATTTTTATTTTTTTAAATATTTTTCAGAGATAATTTATTTTAATATTTTGATTGTTTATTTATTAAACGTAGTAATTTTTTGTTGACATTAAACGGATAAATATTTGATTATTATTATTATATATATTATATATATTTACATGATTATATATATATGTATTTTTGTCTGAATGTTTTTATTCCAATATTCATATTCTTATTCTATATATAAATATATATACATATTATAAATATACGTATATATTTTTTTATAATGAATTAATCATTATATGTGTATTATCAATATATATTATTTTATATGTATATCGGATACTTATAGCATTATGAGTATATTTTAATTGAAAGCATTAGACGTAAAAGAAAATTTTAATTTGATAAGTTTAATTATATTTTATACATTTAAATATATAAATATAGAGTGTTTAATTATTTTTTTGCAATAAATTTTTTTTATTATTATTAAGTGCTAATACGATATTTGCAAAAATATTGCTTCATGAAATCCTTAAATAAAAATATCTATAAAAATACTTTTTCTGGTATATTGAAAATAAACTTATCTTATTTTCTTACAGATTGTCCAATATTATTAATAATACGATGCAACAACGAATTATGTTTTTTTATATTATATTTGTTTTTAATAATTATTAAATTATTAAATTAAATTATCAAAATCACTCTTACAAAATAATCATTTACATAATAAAAAATTTTCAAATAAAATAATTGTAATCAAAATTCGATGCATTTGTGATAAAAATTAGAAATAAAGAATAGAGAATTATCGAACCTTGACCTATTGCCCAATTAACCATATATAGATTCACCCCTTCCTTTCTTGATCCTTTATTCATAGACTTTGCGGTATTTGAGAAAGTTCAAAGCGACATCATGTTCCACTTAACATCGAGAATGTGGAAATTTTATAATAATTCATGTGTTGAATAAATATATGTTTTGTCAGATCAATGAAATAATTCTTCCTTAAGAGAATTGATATATTATATCATTGATATATATATATATATATATTTATTTATGTATTATATAAAAAAATAATTATTCAGGTATTTATCTTATGCTTAAATGTGTAATAAAAAATTAGTATATTTAATAATAGATTTTTTATTTTTAATCATGATAAAATTTAAAAGAAAATAATAACAGGATAATTTTATAGATATTCTATTATATTTATATGTAGCAATTTAAGTTTTCTTAAAAGATTCAATTAAGATTTTTTTATTATCATTTTCATTACAGAAATCCTCCAGTTATTACATGTTATCTATAACATTTTAAAAATATACACATTATCTTGTTATCATTTTGTATACATGTACAATTAGACACATTCTCTTGAAAATACCGCTTGCATCGTGCGGATGTGAATATAGTATAGATAAAAGCTTGATATAATATAGTATCATTATTGTCAAATGAACTTTAACCCCACGGTGATTGGCATCTATGCAACTGTATATACATGTATATTATATATAACAACAGGAACCATTTCGTTTACCTTGCATTAAAGCTTACACTAAGTGAAATAAATTTTTTACATGAAAAAATTTATATATAAATAGAAATTCTTTATATTTAATATTATTTTTTTTTATATCTGTGCATATATAACAATATTACATTTTTATATTTGTCCATTTAATGAGCTTACATTGCTTATATATTAAAGATGATATCGATAAAATAATATTTGGATTTTATAAATTAACAAAAGAGGGATTAAATAATGAATAATATTAAATTTAAAAAAATATAATATTTAGCAGTTAATTTACAATACTTACTATTTACTTAATATATATTTAATATAATTTGTTATTTTCTAATATTAAAAAAGTTCTTCCATTAATATTATTCATTTACTTCTTTTTGTATTTGTATATTTGTTCATTTATAATACGATACGAAAGAAAAATATACTCTCTATAAAATAAAAATAATTTTTATAAAGTTTTCGGAATTAAGCAGAAGAAATAATTTTCTAATACATAATTTTTCAATATTCTAGCACGCTCACATGTTATTGCATAAATTTATTTTCACGTTTATTCCCCCCAAGAGAATTGATTTAAATGTTGAATAGAATACAACATCGAATGAAATTTTATTTTTAGATCTGTTTAATCTTGGCATAGTCATCGCAAACAAAGTGTAGAGTTCTTCGTGCAATGCATTTCATTACGATCATTGCGAAGTATGTTACGTTTTATAGTTCAGATAAACAAATATCATCTTTGTCACGAGTTTTTTGGCAAAAAAAAAAAAATGCATTATATTCTATATTCTATTCATCGTATAATGACGAACGCAGATTCATATTTCTGTACGATTTTATGAAAAAAACCATTTCCGTATAAAGTACGGAAATATATATAAAGTATGTTCTCCTTGTCACGAAATATGTAACTCTGAACTCACGACCTTCTCCATGAGGAACGGACGTGCACATATACGCTCACTTAATACTAATTGAGACCGAATTAACTGGCATATGGATAAAATGGAACTTGAACGTACTATCGGTTGAACACTGACAATATTACGGTTAACATGACTCGTGAATCCGCCGTCATCGGTGTTTTTTGTACTGTGCTTTTTTATTGTCAAATCTGTTCAACTCGCGACCTGTTTGTCTCTTCATATGTGGTTTTTGAAATCGTTTTTTTATTAATATTTTTTATTAATATGATATTTATATATTTAATTAATGTATGCAAAAATTTACAGAATTCAGAGATATGAAAAAAAATCCTTAATGTTTAATCATCCTATTGCGCTTTTAGAAGCTAAATTAACTATCTAATTATTGCGCAGATATCTTTTATTAAGAAATAAAAGATGAATGAATTATTTATTCATTTTCATTCATATTTCATTAAAAAATTTATTCACATAAATTAAAACAAATAAAAGGAAAACTACTTGATTGTAATAAAATTTAATAAAGAAAATCTCCATTAAAAAAGATGAAAAAAAAACTTTCTATTAACGTTCCTTTAGTGTTCATAAAAATATGAATTTGTACATTCATATTTAGTAATGACATTGATGTAAAATCAAAATTGAGAAATTACAAAAAAAGAAAAACCTTTGAGTGACTTATGAGATTGATTACGCTCCGACTACTAATTTACTAATTAAAATATTCTGAGAAAGAATTAAAATATTATAATAATTAAAGTATATTAAATAAATATTTAATATTTACCATTATCAGCTTCTATAATAATTGCAATTTTCTAATCTTAAAATCGTTTATTTTATGATCAAGAAAAGATGGTTTTTATCATGTACTATTAAAACTTGCGGCGAAGCTTTTCAAAACACTGGTTGATAATCGATTTTTATCATATATCTTATTTATTATATTTTTTTTAATATTTTAAGAGTATTAAAAATTGTAAAAAAAGAATAAAATTTCAAATTAATGGAAAAATTTTCACGGAATCCTTTAAAATTCTTTATAAAAATAAGTGACGTATTCATTTGAAAAATCATTGTTTCTTAATTGTGGGAATTTTATATTGTTATATCATCATGGAACTCCTTGGATGTGCAATTCCGGGAATAATTGTGAATCAATCAAAATTCACATATATTACAAATATTTTCAAGGAAATGCAGCATTCCTGAGAAGGATGCGCGGCCTTTTGCCAAAAAGTGAAATCGTCCTTGTATACCTAAGTGAGACACCTCGAATTTTTAGTCGTTAATCAGAGATTCACGAAGTCGTTTTTCAAACGTTGTTACATATATATTTCGGCATTTTTGACCAGCAAAAGTTTAACATGATTTGTGTCGTATAGATAATCTAATAATATTTAAAATTTTTATTAATAGATCAAAATTTTAATAATATGATACAATTGATTATAAAAGAATCGTTATTTTTCTCTAATTAGGAAATTATATCAGATTAAAAATAAATTTCAAATTTTTTAATATCATTTTTTACATATTTTATTTATTTTGTTTATTTTTTATATATTTATTCAATTTTTTGAATACTTTTTATGTTATTTCATTTTTCAAATTTTTCACATATTTTACACTTTATAATATGTTTATTTTATTTTTTTGCATTTAATTTATAAATTTCTTACTTTTTTAGCTTTTATTTATATTTACAATTTTCTTAATATTTCGTTGAAAATATTATAATACAATCTTTTTTTTTAGATTTGAAGTTTATTTAAAATAATTTTTTTTTGGTCATAAAAAATATTTATACGACAAATCGTTAAACTTTTTATACTATCATCTTTAACTTATAAGCAATTTATTTAAGAAATTTCAGTGTTCATCGTCAAAATTCGTTCTAATAGCTCTACAAATTAATAGAATGCGAGGTAAGCCAACTCGAATATGCAAAAGCGGATGGCATTGATTTGATTACAGGACTATGTCTATAATACGCTCACGTAACTTATGAGAAACTGAAGACATAGTATATTAATGCTAAAGCTGACGTGATGCAAGAGGGTTTTAAACGAATTAAAGCTGTGTCGCCAAGAATAGGCAAGAATCGCGTCTTTGTTAACAACACTACACGTGTTTCTTAAACATCAGTCGCCGTTTATTCAACGGACCTTCCGTTCGTGAATTACTTCTTTATCGTTTATTGAGCTATCTTTTCACATTCGTCTTTCATTAATGTTTTTCGTAAACAGATATGTGTACATCATATAACAATGTCGACACGAGGCTTCTCAGGTGATAAACGTTTATAATTTTCTAAACACTGAATATATTTGTAAAAAAAATGAAAAGAATATCACGTTAATGACATATTAAATGTATTTATAAATATCGACTATCATGTATATTTGGATACATCGTTTGGCAATGGATTATTCTTTATAATTTTATGATCTTTATTTCTAACAGTAGTCAAATTTATTTTTAACTCTAAAATTGGACAATTTTGTCTTTCTTATTTCGAGAAATAAATAATTATTTTCTAATAGATTTGTGCATATATTTCTTATAATATTATAGGTTATATTAACAAATTATATATTTTTTTATAATTATATATTATTATATTATTTTTTAATAACTATATAATATACAATATTTTTTAATTTGTATGTAATATACATATTATTATTATTTCTTTTAACAAAAATATTGAAAGATGAATTTTTTCTTTTAGACAAATGTTATATTAATAAGATTTTTCTTAAAATCACTTTTTATGTTTTCATATTTTTATCAAATATATACATTTTTTCTTAACAATTAATATGATATCTTTTTCAGTTTTAAAAATATATATTATGTAAAAAAAATATATGAAATCATTAAAAACAATATTGATAAAAAAAAAGCCTTATAAAAAATAATATTCACACATATAATATTTGATATTATATCAAATAATTCAATTTAAACTATGAAATTTAACTTCTATAATTTTATATTGTATATTATCGTATATTTTTAATTTTAAATAATGACTGAATCTTTTCACAGAGTTAATCAAAATGAATGTTACCTATATTCATGTAGCTGATTGTGAAACTAACCTAAAGCTTAACCTAATAACCTAAAGAAACCTATATAGTTTGTCACTTGCTTTGTGTTACACTGGTAAATACATATAATTCACAAAATTATATATTTTTGGTATATTTCTTCATTTTCTATTTTATTTATTTTATGTATATTTTATTATATTTTTGTATATTTATTTACACATTCAATTTATTTCGTTAGATTTTTCAATTGTATGTTCATATTCCTTATTTAGTTTAATTATTCATATGCTTATCTATTTATTTCCATTTATGACTTTTATGTTATTTTCTATTATTTATCAATTTTTATTAATGTAATGCAGTAATAAGAAACTTTTGTGTAAACGTCACGTGTACTATCAATTATATTTAATGTGTATAATAATTGATTAATTTATAATTATAATTTATATTAAATATATAATAATTATAAAACAAATAATAATATATATATTTTTTATAATAATATATTGTTTATACTTTTATATAAATCAAAAATTAAATTAAAACAAAATTTTGAAACACAAAAAATATAACCTAAATTACTTCTTTAATTATGAATATGAATTTTAATAAATTGAACATTTGATTTAAAAATATATTTAATATAAATCATAAGGAATTTTTTTCAGACAGCGAACTAGAGCCACCATTTCGACGAGCTATTTCTCTTAGGCTACCCAAATCATCGAACTCAAATACTATTGATCGCAATCGATTATATGTATCGACATATCATGGAAAATCATCGATGTCCATGACATGGACACCAGACAAAACCATACCAGTTTGTCCCGCCAGGCACTCCACACCTACGATTGACGCACCTGCGCCGGAATACCTCGCCCGAAATCTTCTTCAACTTGGTTGTCCTGCTGTGTCAATGCCCACGTAAGTTTCTTTAATCTATTATGCGTACACTTTTAACAATTCAGTATATCGCTTCAGATATGTACATTAATTAGAGATAGCAATATCCATAATCAAACGTAATCCGTTTCCGCGTTCCTTCTCTTAGGAATACTGCGCATTTTATTTGGGGAGGCTGATCATCGAGTGATGCATAGGTTGTGTTATTATAGATTAACTTTTCATATGAATTGCGTGAACGTAAATTTTTTTTGAAAAATCGATTGTTGTTAGAATAAGATATGAATATAGAATAATAGTAAATCACATCTTATTTTTATACAATTAAATATCGTTATTTTCATTTTTGTTTATATTTGATAAATTTGATAAATAAATATTCATTTATTTTGGCTTTTGAATCTATATGATTTTGAATATTTTATTGGAAGAAAAATATTCAAATCATAAATAATATATATGTATATATGTATATTTTAAAAATTATAAACATGGAGTAACGAAGAAATGGTAAAGTTTTGATCTAATTCCGGACATATCTTAAATTATAAAATAATTAAAAAATTTTGATTCGCATAGAAAGTACCATTCTCTCGCTACGCTACTGTTAGCTACTGTAATGTACCGGTAGTTCCTTAATGAGGAAGTTATTTTTATTTCGTCAACCCATAAGACAATTAAATGTTCATTGTAAATAGCAGTACAAAATTATGCACGTGTATCGTTTTGTTTCATCCGTATTACTACAGTTATCGCGTGACAGAAAGAGATGAAAATAGATTGGATTAGTCCAAGAAATAACATTGGCGATCAGCTGACCGACCGGCATCCCTCTGTCGGCTGTTTTTCCGAGATATTAGTGGGTGAAGTGATGCGATTCCAATGATTTTGTATGAGTTACATGCATGCTTATGTGTACATGTTTGTAAAGCAAGTCAGCTATACAGCTATACAACTAGGTAGCGTGGTATTCGGTCAATAGCTGGCGAGACTGGCGCAGACGCGCCGAAACAGCTGAGTGTGCGTTCACGTACATCTAATGGTGTTGTACCATTGGTATACATTGCAAGTGTCGTCGAGTAGCGAGAAGTCTATTAGCACGAGCGCGGACTGCAGCACGTTCAACACACCGCATTGCCGTATTTTCACTGCAAACCTTTGTGAAACATACTATCTATTTTTTTTCTCAATCAAGAACAGACTGAAGATATCTTGCTTTTTAAATATTCGAATTGTGTTGAGATGAAAGAAATTGGTACATCATATTAGAAGAGAAAATCTTTCAAAAGTGAATCAAATTTATTGATCATCGTTTCTTAAACACAAGAAAAAAATAATCGAGAATAGGGGATTTACGAAAAAATAAATATTCCAACATTTGATGAAAGTTTCATTGATCTTCCGAGCTTTTTAGAAAGAAATGATGCTGCGACTGTATTGACCGAGCGAGCTGTCAGATTCGAATATTTTCATGGGAAATTCAAAGTTCTCAATATTGTGTACAATGAAGAAAGGAAGGAATATACAGGAAGTTTCGAATAATTAAAAGGACCGATTCGTGAGAGAGAATTTATTTTCTAGTCAGTTTTTGCATGTGACAGTGTAGTCGTAACGTGGGACAGTGGCGCCCCTCTACTGGACTGCTAGCTACGATAATACTCATCGCAGGTGTGACTTTTTCAAAATTCGTTTTTCCTGTCATTTATTAAATTTTGAATTATATAGTGATATTTTGATATAATTTACTTTTAAATTTTATGAACTTGTCAATATATTTATTATTTTATTTTAAAATTTTTTTATATTGAAAGTAAGAAAAAGTTTTCTTCTTTTTTTTATTTCCTATTCTTTGTCTAGTTTACTCGAGAAAAACAAATAAAACATTTAAGGTTAAACACGTCATCATTGATGCATATAAATGATTCCTTCCTGTTTTGTTGCAATATATCTAATATAAGATCATATTCCAGTATCAACAAAACAAGATTGCTGTATCATTATATATTTTTAAAATTCTAATAAAATTTTTACAAAATTTATTAAAAATAAAATTTATCAAAGTATTAAATTTAAGAATTATTTTTTAAAAGTTTAATAAATAATAAAAATTATAATAATTATGTGAGAAATTACTACGAATTATCAATTATCAGATTAAAATTATCGATAAATTAGATTTGCGTGGATTTATAATCAAATTCATTGTTGAATAAGTTATAATTGGAGATGTACACATGTATAACATGTACGATATCATTAGATAAAAATGAACATTTAATACGAAATTTGAAAGGAAATCGACATTAATGTACAACGTTTAAAATGATAATAGATCAATTTAATATTTCGAAGCTATTATTTTTTTTCAGACCTCGTGGAGGAGTAGGGTCTGAACCTCCGCAGAGTAGCGATAGCGATGAATACTCGACGACGAATACTCAACAGCATAGTCATGGACATGGATATGGTCAAGGACAGGTGGATATCTACAACGTGCCCAAAGTCCAGGTGTCGGGACCATCGAACAATGATGAATCCTCTTCCGTCATCAATGGTAAGTTCAATATTTTTCTTTTTTTCTTATTTTTGATAATCTTTTGATGTTTATAATCATCATGATGTTTATAAAAATCTGATATATTTTAATAATGCATTATTAGTAATATTTATATAACGTTTATAAAGATGGATAAACTAATATATATTGAAAATGAAATCGTATATTTTATTTGATTTATATTTGAAACAATAAAACTTATTAATAATTTATATTTTAAAAATGGATGTTATTTTGAATCTATTTATCTATATTAATTATTATATAATAACTTCAAAAAACTGAAAAAATAAAGAAATATGTATTTTCTTCATCTATAGTATTTTAAAGTACTATAAAAATTAAATTTAGCTTACTATTATTAACTTTATTATTTTAGAATTTAAAATCATAAACTAAAAATGTTAAAAGTGGAAAATTAAAAAGATTCAATAAAAAATTTCATTCAAATAAATTTGATTGACTGTACTTGAAGAAGTCATGTTTTTTTAATTTGAGTTCTTAGAAACATTAGCATTGCAACATGAACATAAAATTAAATAAATTGTCTCAAACTTTTTATTCATTAATTGTGAATCTCTTCTTGTAAATGAATTCAACATTCTATCTTTTTTTACACAGATAATCTTACAAAAAATGTTGCGAGAATGTTCTCTTAATATATTGATCGTCATATATATCATATTTACATCAGATGCAAATTAATTCAAATTTCGTGTATACCGAAACTTTTCAAGTTATATTTCTTGTAATAGTTTATTCTATCTCTTAAAAATATGAAATATAAATTCATAATTGATATAAATGATATAGATTATATAAATTACATAAATATATATAAATATAAATTACTCTTATTTGATAAATATAGTTTGAAAAACATCTACATTCTACATAGATATATTTTTATAATTTTTTCCAAACAAGATTCTTAAAAAATTTTTATTAAATATAATATGTATATAATATGCATTCTATTAGCTCACATTTTTTTAAATATTGTATTTCAGAAAAAAGTTGTTAACAAAAATCTATCCATATTCATTACATTTCTTTTCTATAATAAAATTAAAAATTATAAATTATTCTGAATCTTTTAAATAAAATCATAAAATTCTTTTTATTATATTATAAATATACAACAAATATAATAAATACAAATTAAAAATAAATTTAGAATAAATTAAAAAAAATATTTTAAAGTCAAAGATAAAGTTATATACAATTTGATATAATTTTATCAATATTTTATAATATTTACAATGATATCTCAAAATTTTTTCGCCCAAATGTTTTAAGAAAAGATTTAATAATAATTTTTTATGATCAGATTCCAACAATTTGCATGTTGAAAACATGAAATACGTTTATCTTTAGTAAATCTAGTTAATAGATTGATATACACGTGTTAATTACTACATATATATTACATATTATATGAATTTTAATTAATACTAGAAGTATATTCGATACACAATATCGTCGATAGCATATTACAGAATAAATACAAAATTACTACTATTTGTTTTCGATATGTCTTATCGTTTAATTCGTTGATTTAATTTTTTTTCTGCAACGCAAGGCGAGTATTTACAACAATGCTCGTTTGATATCGCGACATAAATAATTTTCCAGATAAGGAAAATGCTAGAATTCTTCTCTGGTATATGTATTATTTAGTTACATAATCCTTACATTAGCGTTGAATTTCATCGAAGTGTTTGCATTTCTCGTGTAATGATTTACTGCTTAACTTTTGAGAAATAAACGAATAACTGCTTTAAAAATTTTATTAGGTGAACTATAATAAAGATTCATTAAAAAAAATTTGATTTTTAGAAAAATATCTCGATTGTTATGGAAATTTTCGATCCGAGTTGCATCAATGTCGAATATAAAGTTGCGTTTTCATTGAAGCGATTATGAGAATTTCTTGTGAATTTTATGCTGAAAAGATTTTATTCTTATTACTGATTTTTTTACACTTCTGTTGCTGTTATAATGATAATTAAAGATCTTGTAGTAAGAAAGATTTATTATTATATCAGATTTATTTTTATCAGTTTTTGGATTACTATTTCAAATATATCTAAAAAAAAAAAAAACTTGTGCAAATTAAACTAAGTGCAGATGTTAATAATAATAATAAAGTTAGATTGTGCAAAACTATAAAAAATTTTAATTAATAAAATAATTCTTTTATTGTTAACAAAATATAATTTACTTTTTTTTAATATTTTGTGTGCAAATCTAAATTTAAAAAATTTGTCAAAAATTGGAGTAAAAATTATTCAACTAATTATTATATAAAAATATATTAATGCTTTTTTTTAATATTAAGAAATTATTAATTAATTCTTTTTAAGATTTCTTCCAAAGTTATTACAAATAAAAATTTTGAATTTGTTCCTCTATTTACTACAAGATTAATTATTACCTGTTTTTTGGCTTATTTTGGATAATTTCCATTCAATTGTGCTTGAATAAAAATCGGTTCCTGTATGCGTTTCATTATTACATTTAGCTATGCATGTGTGCTGCATTAAAAACGTTTAATAAGCATTGAAATTACCTTAATATTTCTTCAAAAGAGAGCATCGAGAGTATTGAAAAATATGCTTATTATCATATCATCAGGAAAAAAAGGAATATCATCATGGTGGGCCTTTTTTTAAAACGGTACCTGCGTATACACCGTTATACACGTCGATGAACCGATTTTCCATTAGTAAATAAGCCGCAACGATTGGCCAATTATTTTTAGATTAACTTTTATACATCCAAGGTTGTGGCATCTGTCGATCTAAAAATATCCTCTCTAAGAAATTCCTTTTTATTCGATTTATCGATTCTCGTTTAAGCGATTCTTGTATAAATCTTTTAACGTCCATTGGCTTTTGATGCAAATGAAACGGCGATCATGAAAGATTGATACACCATCCTTACAGATTTTGAATTCCTGAAATATTTATATGTTAAAATCTTATACATACTTTTACACAAATATTCGCTTTTAAAATATTCGAGAAAATATTTTTAATTCTCTTTATTATAAAATAAACAAATACTGAGAATGATAAATTAACAAGAATAATGGTCGTACAAATTTTATTCTTATATTTATTGTTAAATACGTATCTTAATCTTGACGAATTATCTTCTTTATTTTTGCAATATTCTTGATCCATTACTTATCAACAGCCATCAAATGAGAATAAATAATATTTTTTAAGAGCACTTTTTTTCAATTGTTATATCGTAAAATAAGAAAGATACAATGAAAAATATCAAGTTTCGCTATCACATACTCACAATTATATACTTTTCAATTTTTTTTACTTCACACAGAAAAAGTTTTAATTTCCTATGATTCACTTAATGTTCCGGATTTCACTCGAATCTCTCATTTCTGGAACAAATATTTTTTAAATGAAAGATTTTTCTTCTATCCTTGCAACTCGAAAAAAAATGTTGGATGTTGGATGTTTCTTTTGTTTTGGAAAACAGTTTGCAAGAGTTGGAATTATCTCTCATCGCTTTTTAACGAGCGTTTCGCAAACGGGAAGAAAAAATTGGAAAAGCACGAGGGACAAGAGGCTGCTCGAGATTCTTTCATGCACGCGTTTTTCATGACGCGATAGAGTGTAGAAAAAAACAGCAAAGGAGCAAGTCGACAAGATTTATTCTACTATTGTGTATAGAACAATGTTTCCCAACTGTTTCACGAGTTGCAACTCTCTTTTTACGATAGCTAAATATCTTATTTTTTTAAAAAATGAATCAAAAACAATAATAAAAATTAAAAAAAAAATATTCTTATTACAACCAAAGGGCAAATATTTAATATCTGAAATAAGAAAAGAATAATTATTTTTTAATTAACTATTCTTTAAAAATAATAATACAATTTTATTCTCTATCTTTTTAAACCATGACATCGATGACAATATCTGTCATGAAAAACTAATCATATACCGGATGAGACTGTTAGAATTAAATGAAATTTGTCTACAGTTAACTTTTATCCATCTAGATATATTCATTTGGATAAGAATGATATCGTAAATGTGCAGTTGAACGAAATTATTTAATCTTTCCTTTTTATCAAAATTTTGTTCGAGATAATAAATCATCACTATATAATACATCATTATTCGTTACATCATACATGTTTAATAATATCGTTTCATTTTTAAAAAATTAGATCTTTAAAAATCTTCGACAAATTTGTCTTTTATTAAATATCAAATTATATTTACATTATTATCATTTATCAGTTATCAGTTATATGTTATCTATCATTATCAATTAAGCTATGTCTACATTACATGCACTATATTTAGAACAATGGATATTATACGTTTAATATATTAATATATATAATTTCATATTGGTAGAATTAAAGAAAGCTGAAAATATTAATAATTAAAAACAGTTATATATCATCTTTTTTAAAATAAGTTATATCATGTTTTGTTATTCACTATCATTTTGATATTTTTGCTATATCCTTTTCAAACACGTGAATAACACTTGGGATATTTCCTTAATGAAAGAACGGTAACATATTAGTCATGATAATATTCAATCCTTGTCGAGCGTGCATCGACTCTGTAGCTGAAATTGTTCTCTTTATTGAAGATATTCATCAGCAGTTTCATGTATGCATTTCGTTACACGTGTACGAAAAGAAATCTAATTTGTTGAATAGAGAAACTTATGAATTCTTGATCTATTGAAAATTATTTATATTTTTGTGTTTTATTACAAGCTCAATCTTCAATCAGAAAATTTTATCTGCGATTTTTTAAATTATGTAAAAAGTAAGGAAGAAAGAAGACAGATATGCATAGAACAGAAATGAGGCAAATTTCTTCATTTTTGTGACAATGATCCGTTTTCTATTTCGAACAAAAGAACATTCTAAGGTTTCTTGATGCAAGCTTTTGATATTAAGGTTAATCTCTGATCTAGTTTTAACTAGCATGTTGGTTATTGCGATTTTAGCTGATGTTCTTATTAAAATTGCAGTTGAATAGATTTTAGAAATAAAAAACATTAAAAATTTACAATCAAATACAAAAGAAAGATTCAAATCAATTTCCATTCATTATTTCAACAATATTATAACAATAGAATACCTGAAATTTATAACAAAATTTTATGATTATATTGTATTATGCTTTATTCTATAGAGAAAAGAATTTCTATAAAAATCGCGAATACCTGTTTTAACATTTTAGATAAATAATCAAAATAAAAATATTTATCTCTTGTACATGATTCTGTGATAAATGTAAAACTTTGGCAAATATTGTTCTTATATACTTTCATTTTAATATTACTTTTCCTTTTTTTCCTTCTATCATATATTTTTATCAAAATTTTTAAGGAAAACAGCTTAGTCTCGATGTATGTATGCATAAATTGATAAGATAATTTCTTATATCGTATCACTAACGACACAATATGGAATAAATTTTTCAATTTTATATTTTTGGTTTGATTAAGTCGATATTCATTATAGATAAACGTGAAAAATTATTAGTTTATTAATAATTCTTCAAAGAGCTGATTATGGTATCTAAGAATATGTCTTCTATAGATATTTCTAGTTAAGTTTACAATATTGATATGATATTTTATTTTTATGAAATATTTAATTTATATAATATAATAGAATCTTTTAAATATTAGTATTTCTTTTTTACATAATAATTTTTTACATAATAATTTTGATTTCATAACGCTTCTATTTTTCAAAACAATATTTATTTATAATAAAATCATTTTGAATTAAAATGTTTTTGATATTCTTTATAAAATTATATTCTTTATTTTTATGATCATAGTATCAACCAACTTTTATTAATTATCTTATTAAAAAGTTAATTTAAATATGTAATTTTAGGTCTTTCATAAATTTTCATGAATTATTTATTGAATTAAATAAATATTTTATCAGAGAATTTAAACTTATATGTATATATCTTTACAAAAAGTAAAACAATTTATTTTATAATCTAACAATAATTCAATAATAATAATTTTAAATTTAATAGATATAAATTTAATCCTGATTTAATTTAAAAAATGATTATATAATATAATATTAAGCAACGCTTACCCGATCTTCCATTATCACATTTAAACTTTCTTTCTTTTCTAACCTATCACTTCACGTATTGAAAATATTATAAATACATATATATATTTTTCCATTAGATCATTCAATTTGATCATTCAAAACAATTTCTATTTGTAGGTTTCTCCAAATGAATGCAAGTCGTCTTAGTTTAGATTCGATCGATGGAAATATGATAGGAAGCCAATTCCATGTAACGTAAATCTATGTCGGTTGTTATATGAGGCTTCACCATGAACACGCGTTGTCTGTCGGATTAATTGCAAACCTTTTGATTCGAAATTAGTCTTATCTTCGATGTCATTTCTAATTTCTTATAACGGATGCTTTTTCTCGTAACATAACGATTAAACCTTCGGAACTTTGACGATGCTTTCCTTTATCGTCTGACACGTGCATACTGAAGAGCTGCGTGCGCACCTGTTCTGTGCATGCGCTTCCGCGCGCGCAATGACTTCATTTTTCGCACGACATGCCGCCGGAAAGTCAATTAAAACGCTGTTAGATCAGGATTTCCGCAAATAGCCTCATTATCGACACGAATAACAAGATATTTTGTATTGTTCACTGATTCATACAGTGATATATTACATTTCACACTTAACAATTATATTAGATATGAAAATTATTAGATTAAAACATGTTTTTTTATTAATATATATATATATATATAATATATAATGAATTATTTCGCTATTTAATTACAAACATATGATTCTTCTATTTCTTTTTTTATATTTTCTTTTCAAACAATTAAGATTTTTCATCTTTATCATTATAAATTAAAGATTGTTTACTAAGAATATGTATCATCATAGTATTTAACAGAAAAATTAAGCAATTAAATATGAATAATTAGTTATTCTACGTTAAAGTATTAAATTTTAATTTATACGAATCATATTTTGTTTTCTATCATTCTCACTCATCATTCCATGATAGCATGTTATCTACAATATTATTAATCAAGTATTTCACAAGGATTCGTTATTTTAATATAATTTTAAATAGATTACTCTTAATGCTACGAAGTTGAAACATTAATGTCAACGTTATCGGCGTTTGCTTTCTTATTCACACGATTTCTCTCCCATGTTAGACGGAGAAACGACCCCAGAAAATTATCTCCGCTTGTATGAAACAGTTGATTTATGATGTTCGTACGTGAACGTACGACCTCCATTTCCTCCCTCGTCGCTAGATATGACACGAGAATACAACGCAAATATTATCAGAATTTTTGCGTGAAACATACTTATCTCTCAATGGTCAGTCTCTCGTTCGAGAGAGATAATTTATCGATTCAAGATTCGACATTTCAAAAGAATCGCTTCCTCGAACGGTAGCAAAACGATCTTTTACACGTAAGTGCACACGTTTTTCTTTCTTCTGTTGATATTGTTCTGTGAAAAATTCGATGTTCCAAAGGTGTATTAAATGGAAAAATTGTTTAATGGATTTGTATTGGCTTTATAGGGACAGGTAAACAGATATTTTTATCATATTTGTATTTATTTATTTTTTTCGATATGATTTGTTATAACACTTTCATGTATTGAGTTAAAATGTACTTCAAATATAAAAATGTATTTGTTAGATAATTGAGAATTAAATATCGAGAGCTATTTACGTAAGTTTTCAAAACTTCCGAGCTATGGAGCATCCAATTACTGGTTTAACAAGTCATTTTAATTGATTTAATTAATTGGTTTGAAAAAAATATTTCAGACAATTAAAGTGATGATAAAAAATTGAAATCAAACTTTAAAAGATAAGTTGAGTATAAAAATAATAATTGTTTTTTTATAATTTATACAAAATATTATATTTAACTTAATTAATAGTACAATATATTCGTATGGAAATATTAAAAATATGCAAAATTAGAATTTAAATTAGACTTTAAAAGAATATTTATTTTTGTATCTAATAATCAATTTGAAGAAAAATAATGCTTTATTTTTCGTTTTTATTTAAATAATAATTTCTTGAATTAAACATGCAAATATAATTTTTGCATTCTTATAAATAAAGATAATATTTTATAATAATATTTCTTATAAAAAAGGTAATTATTTAATTAAAAATTAAATACATTATAAATTTATATATATATATAAAATGAAACTTGAAACATTTATTATATAATTCAGACATGTCATAATAATATATTAATTAGATTACATGTGTAATTAAATAGAACAAGCATGCATAACAAAACAAGCATGTACTGATAAAGCATTGCATTATATAAAATATAGAAGCATATTATATGAAAGTGTTTTTATTATAAATATGTATTTTTTTTTTTTCATTAATATTTGCATATCAAAGTATCACAATGAAAATAGTAATGAGTTATTAATATCGAAGGAAATGAGATATTATGAAGGAATATAATTATGAACCAATGATAACAATTGGTTATCATTATTTTTTCATTTAAGAAAATATGATAAATAAAAAAGTATTTAAGCGGATCAAAATAAAACGAAATCAAATGCATATTTACTTAAATTCTTCGATGCGTTAGAAACAAATTATCTCATGATAAGCATAAAATATGACAGACATAATATACTTACAAACATGTAAGTACTATATTTAAAGTGATATTTTAATAAATAACTATTGTTTCCTTAATTATTTCTCGCATATTTGCATCTTAAAAGAATTATAGTCATTGTTTCATTTGTCATTAACTGGCGTTAAATTTTATCTCCATATAAG